GCGTCCCCCAGTGCCCGGTGCGGCCCTGGCCCGGGGAAGCCGCATTGCTCCTGGGAACGAGAGGGGCGGCCCGGTCCTCCGCGCTGCGGGGAGACACGACGATGTGGAAACATCGCAGGCCGGGTCACCGCCCAGGGCAGCTGCGGCGAGGACCAGAAACCAGGGCGGGGCGCAGCGAGAAGCCCGCCGGAGCGAGGAGGGAGAACCCAGCTGTAGGCCCTCCCCGCGTCCCACAGATAAGCTGCGGAGAGAGACGCCAGGGACAACGAAGGAGCCGCCCCACTCAAACATGGAGGCCACGGAGGCACCGAAGGAAACGGTCCCCAAATGCACTGCCAGCCACACCCGGCTTCCGGGCCCGGCGTCCCTTCCCCAGGTTTAAACTGGGGAGCTGCGCCCCGCCTGCTTATGCAAAGAACAACTTTGTTGGGTCACGTGCCTGTTGACGCCGGACTGTGATTGGCTAGACCCGTGATGACGCCCGACGCTGCAGTGCCTCGGGTTGAGGCCTCGGGGTTCTTTCTCTGGGGAGATCGCCGCTCACACTCATGAGGAGCAGGAAGGTGAGGAGGAGTTGCCGTTCACAGGGGGTGCGCCGACTGTCTGGGGAGCTGAAGATGGGCGGTCTCCGCCTGGTCTCGCCCCCGGCAGTAAGGGGTTCCCCGCCATGCCCTAGGTGCTGTGCTGGTTATTAGGCCACGCCCCCGGGGAGGGGCCCAGGCCACGCCACGCCCCCGGGGAGGGCCCACATCCTGAAAAGGGGGCTCCAAGCTGGCCTCTTGGGGTGGGCTCTTAAACTGCTTTCCCAGGAATAAGACAGGCTCTTGGCGGTCTTGGGGTTCCTATTCCTCCATTGATGCCCCTAAGGGAGGCGGCTCAGCGCTTGAGGTCTGCCAGGCCCCTAGGTGGCCTGAGGGTGGTGGGACGGGGCCAGGCTTGAGGGCCGGGAGTGGGAACTGGGTCCAAAGCGCGCGCCCTGGGGCCTTTGACCTGACACACAGAGGCGGCCCGTTCCATCTTCCTGCGACTCTACAGACAGCAGCAGTTGTACCTTTTTAGTATCCAACCTGACAAGTCACTGCAGGGGTCTCACTATGCAATCCAATCATCCGCCTGCCTCAGCCTCCCAACTGCTGGGATTACAAGTGTGCGCCATCACACCCGCTATTTGGTTGAATGTTTAAGCCCATCCACTTGTGTTACAGATGTGCATGTGCCTGGTTACACCTTGTGTCTTGTTCCCTCTTCTTCCTTTGCATAAATGAACACTTTCTACTAAACTTTTAATGTGACGACATATTGTGTGCTTGCGGCTGTTTTGCCTTATACATCTTGACTTAATGAGCCGCAGAGCTGTACGACTTAACTCCGAGGAGATGGCGCTTCCCTTTGGCCGCCTTCTGTGGTCTTTGGTGACTGACTGCATGGCATCCGCCGCTGTTCAGTGCGGGTTGGAATTCTGACTGTGCCATCTCCTGAGCCCAGCCCGATTCACCCACATCCTGAGATTTGTTGCAGTGGACACAGTACATTTCTGCATGTGTTTTCCAGGTATTACTGTGTGCATTTGCTTAAGTTACTTAAGAAAGGAAGAAAATGGCTAGGGATGTGGCTCTGCTTTCCTGGGTTCAATCCCCAGTGCCACAAAACGTTGAAGCATCTTTTACAGGTAGGCGATTACCTCGCCTGGTGCTGCTGTTTTTGCATGGCTCTGAGGAACTGTCAAAGCCAAAGAACTCCCTTTACTGTTTCTTTGAAGAGAATCTTCTGGAAAGAGCTTCTCTCAGCTTTTGTTCATCTGGAAACATCTTATTTTGCCTCCACTTCTGAAAGATAGCTTTGCTGAATACAGGGTCCTCGGCGGGCATTTTTCCTTTCAGTCACTGGACACTGCTGTCCCCTGGCCTCCACTGCTTCTCCCGGGGCCGCTGTTCGTTGCTGAGGCTCCTTTCAGCTAGGGCAGAGAATGCTGCTTGCAGGGCTTTGACTTTCACAGATGTTAGTGCTGTGTCCAGTCTCTGGGTTTATCCTGCTTGACCTGTTTGCGTTATTCCTCCTGGAGTTCATTTCATTGAGACTCCTGAATGTCTGGATTGTTGTTGTTTTGAATAAACATGGGAAGTTTTCAGCCCTTTTTCTCTCCTTTCTGCTTGGCCCGTCACAAGTGTGTTACTTCGTGTCACACTGCCAGTGTGTCTGAGTGGCTGCTTTCCTTCATCATTTTATCTGTTCTTTACATGTTCTGCCATCTACCTTCAAGTTTGTTTATACTTTCTTCTGCCAGATAACATCAGCTGTTGAGCCTCTGTTGTACCTTTTCAACTACAGAATTTCTGTTTGGTTATTTCTTGTGTACATATGTGTATTTATAGGCTGTATTTTATATGTGTATATATGTACATGCACTCAGACGCCCTTTATACTCTCCGTGTGATGTGACATTTGTATCTCTCTTTACTTCTTTCTTCCTGTCTCTTTTGTACTTCAACTTGTCTGTAACAGCTACATTAAGTCTTTGGTAAATCTGGTCACTCTTACAAAGGCAGCCTTTATCTCTTGTTTATTCCACTTTCCTATTTTATTCTACTTCCACTTCCTTACATGCTTCATAATTTTTGTGGGACACTAGACACTTTAGACAATATACCTTGAGCCTCTCTAATGCAAAAATACTACTTCAAAATAGGGTGGTTTTTTTCAGCCCAAAACAACATGCTCAGAAAGTTTCGGACCCTGGAGCATTTTGGTTTCTCAGATTAGGGCTGCTCAACAGGCACAGTCTATGCAAATATTCCCAAGTCTCTCTGTCAGAATCTTTGAAGCAGTGGTTTCAAAGCTGCTGTCTCTGTGACCATGCTGCTGCTCAGGGCTCTTCCTGTCTTTAGCTCCTTCCTTCACCTGCCTGACTGACCCTCGGTTCTTGGGCTGGGGCTATGGACCTGGGCTGCCCCATCCTTATTTCCCTGGTTACGGTGGGCTTTCTCCCATTTTAGTTTCTTGTGGTTTGTTTGTTTGTTTGTTTGTTTGATACCAGGGGTCGAACTCAGGACCTTTCACTTGAGAGGAAGGCTCTCCCCCTTTTTAAAATGTCCTCTCCAGTTGTGGTCATGGAGCCTGGACCTCTGCCTCGGCAACTCTGGAGGTCCCAGGGCTCCAGGATATGGGGCAGTGAGGCACCCTAACAGTTTCTAACCTGCCTGTATTCCTTTTGTGTTTGGTTCCTCTGCTGCTGAATGGAACACCTCCCTCCACTCCTGCATCCCCAGGTCCAGGGCCTGGTGACACAGCAGCTTATGAGCTTACAGTTTCTACCTTCACTCCTTGGTTTCATTCATTACTTCTCTTTATTATTCACTTTCATTTTCAAATTTCCAGGTTGAGCTTTAGAATGCATTCTTATCTTAGAGCAGTATGGCATCCTAGCCTGGATTGTGGAACAGAAAATAGGATTTCATGGAAAAACTGATGAAATGAAAACAAAATCTGTAGTTCAGTTGATATTATATGGATGCTCATTTCTCAGCATTGCCTTGTGCTATTTTTGCTACTTTCCCAGAAGTATCATTCCTATTATTAAATAGATATAATTAATTTAAAGTCATCCCTAAAGCAGGTTAGGTTAGATATTCTGAACCTATCCAGGATAACACAGAAGTGGATGGTGTGCTGACAGTGGATTTATGGGACAGAAGCTGCTTGCTTTACACTGTGTGAGCGGGGTGGAGAGGAGGTATAAGGCCACCGGCTTTGGCTGTCCTGTTGCCGGCCGCAAGGGACTGTGACCCAACATAGAAGTATAAGGGCTTTGAGGAAGGGTCCGTGCTGTGTACTCTAGGCACGCGAAGTGACCTCATGTCTGACAGCCAGCTGAGGTCAGGGGACAGGCTGTCAGTGCTGTGCTGGGCGCACACTTCCAGGCAGAGGCTGTCCCTCCCTGCGGGTGCGAGTGTGGGAGGTGCCTGCACTTCCTTGGGCACTGACTGAGCCTCACTGCTCTAGCTCGCAGGTGGAGTGCGGTCTTCAGCGCGCCTGAGAGCCCGAGGTTGCTCCGCAGACATCGTAGCCCCCGCCCAGGACACCACCTGCTCCACGTCCCCCAAGACGGCATGCCTGGTGAGCCTCATACCACAGAGTGCCGCGGTCTGGCAGGGCCACCGTCACAGATGTGTCCAGTATTAACCACCAGGGAGGCCCATCTCGGCGATGCGCCCCGGCGTTGGCCCCAGAGCGCATGTGTCTGCAGAGATCCGGCCCCGAGACGGTCCCATCGGAGGTGGCCTGCCCAGTGACGTGCGCACATCGCCTCACTACGTCACCCTCTGTAAAGCCTTGAGCACGAGCAGGGCCACGGGGTGAGGAAGGGACCTCAGATCCTCTGCTGTTCAGCTTAGTGCAGCTGTCATTTCCACCCAGGGTGGCTTTGCTTCCCTGGTGCCACAGCCAGACTTGGCACAGCTGCACGCCAGTGACTGGCAAGGTGCCTCGCTCTGGGAGGGGCTCTGTCAGAGCCACTTTAACAAATACCTGCTGAGCACATGGGACGAGGCAGGTGCCGCCCTGTGAGTAAAGCGCAGATTCTTGCCTTCGCTCACAGAGCTTGCTTCCTGTCGCAGGGAATGAACGTGGAGTCTTTTACTGTAATTTATCATGAGGAAACACGCATCCCCCAAGAACAGGAACTGCGTCGGGGTAATGCTGGGGCTTGTGTCTAGGTTCATTCCTAGCCATCAGCTCGGACTCTCCCCCCTTGGTGGCAGAGCGACAGGTGATGGTGTGAGAGCTGTGGTTCCAGCGTTCGCATTGTCTCGGGTGGGAGAAGACATAGGAGCCTCTGGGGTGCACGCCTTGTATTTCCTGGATCTGTGTGGGTTCCCTTATATTTTTCTTCCTTGGCAGACTTCGTCCCACAAGACCCCAGACAGGCGAACCTCAAAGAAGTTCAAGTATGACAAAGGTCACCTCGTGAAGGCAGAATTACAGAAACTCATCTCCAAAGGTGACAACACTGCTCTGCCAGAAGTGGCGCCCAGGGCCCCGTGCACAGGCGTGTCTGCAGAAGACAGCGCATTGCCCCCGGGCAGTGACACAGCTGTCCCTGCCCACCAGGAGGCTGCAGCTCTTCCCCACGGTGGCTGGCCCAGTGCAAGTGACACTGTCCCCGCTGAGACCGAGGGCAGCCGGTCCCCTCCAGAGCCCTGCGCCAGTGTGGCGGCAGAGGAGTCCAACGGGAGTCCCAGGGGAACCCACGAGGCAGCATCTGCCACAGCAGAGACGCAGGAGCCCCTGCTTCAGATGGACAACAGCGCCCTTCTGGACGATGACAGCAATCAGCCCCTGCCAGTGAGCCGGTTCTTCGGGAACGTGGAGCTCATGCAGGTAAGACCGCGCCTCTGTGTGTGAGTAATGGCTCAAACAAGTAGCAACTTAAGCAGCATGAGAAAGGCTAGGACCTTGCCCACCGAGGTCCCGCCCTCCAGCTCCCAACCGAGTCAATGCCAGGCGGTGCCAGGTGAAAGGGGGTGTGCCAGGCCCTGTCTGCAGGCCTAGGGACACAGAGGCCCCCTGCACCCGTCTTGCTGCCTCTGGTTTTGAGCCGGCACCTTCTGCACCAGGGCGGGGTGTGCAGACCAGAAGCGAGGCACAGCACTGAGTGGGGTGCACTGCAGACGTGGTGCGGGTGTGTGTGTGGCATCGCTGAGACTCAAGTCCCTGCTTTCCTCCCCTCTTAAGGACCTGCCGCCGGCCTCCTCCTCTTGTCCTTCAATGAGCAGACGAGAATTCAGAAAAATGCATTTCAGAGCCAAAGATGACGAGGATGACGAAGATGCAGAAATGTAGAAAACAGTGATTTTTTTTTTTTACATACTTCACACAATTAACGATTTGACAATGGAACAAATCGTTAAGATTTATATGAAATGCTTCTCCAAGGGAATGTGTCCCTTGTGGGACTTCAGAAGTGACCCATGGAAATGAACAGCACAAAACGCCAGGCACCCAGGGAGCTTGCCTTGCAGGACTGCAGCAGTCCAGCTGGGGGTTTAGCCGAAGGCGATCTCTGTCAGCATTGTGTAGGTAACATGCTGGCACACTGTCCGTTATAGGAAGCTGATGAGTCTTGAGATTAATTCAGCGCCACTCTCTAAAGGCCTCTTCTGTATTTCTGAAGGTGGACCTGCTTGCCTTGAAAACTCTGCCAAATACATGTGGGAGAAGAATAAAATATACGTTTTGAAAATACTTTTAAAGCAACGTACCTAAAACTATTTCTTCCTCAAACGTTTGAGAGCCCAGGGAAGAAGTGAATCCTGTCCCTGGCTGGGACCACCTGTCAGGCTGTGAACCAGGCATGGCCCCCATCCTTCTCTTGGGTACTTCTTCCTCTCACTCACTAGCTCAGCCAGCCTCGGGGTGCTACCTTTGCCCCCAGTCCCACCATGCACAGAGACCTTCTCCAGCCTCTCCTGCCACCAGCCTTGCCTAAGGAGGGGTTCCCTGGTGAGCAGTGGGGACTTGTCCTGAGAGAGCAGGAGCCTCTGGCTTGGTGACCACAGCTGCCCAGGACCTCTAAGCTGTCTGCCCTGGAGGCCTAGGAAGTATTTCCCGTAACATAAACAGGAGCACAATGCACCTGTAAGACATTTTTCAGTGCTTTTCCAGTTCAAAACCTTTCTCACTCCCCATACCAGTGATTTTTGTGCAGTCATCCTAGTTTCCATGGTGACCATTTTCCCATTAGCCATGACCTTCACCTACCAGGAATAACATTGTGACTTATTGATTGATGAACTAGAATTTGAAAGTGTTGCTTGTAAAGTCACTGAGAGCCAGGAAAAATAAAGTACAACCTTGCATTGCTGCGTGAGTGGTGATTAAAAACAGCACCTGTTGAGAGGCAGTGCCTTGGCTCAGACTAGAGCATCCCATCCTTCCCATAAGTAGCCTTTAGTCAGCGCCACTGTCCTCCATTGCAGGGTGACTACAGGAAAGCCGCATCCTCGTGGTCCCTGTGGAATGGAACACATGTCCCTTCTGGGCCACCCTGTCCATGTGCCAGCCTCAGCCCTCACAGATTGCCGTGCCTGGTGTGAGCACCATCCTGGTCAGCTGCCCTGCAAACCTCAGTCCTGGGCAGGTCCCAACATGAGTCCTTCTCCCTTCTCCTTCACCCAGGCCAGCCCCAGAGACCTGATGGTGCCACTTTAGATGGCAGAACAGACAACCCAGTGGACTCTTCTAGATTTGAGGTGGCAGGGATGGCCAGCCTAGGTCCCCAAAGGCTGCTGTTGAGTGGGGATGGAGTCACCGTAGCAGCCCAGGTATCAGACGCAGCAGGGAGGAGGTAGGCATGCCTGGCCTTCTGGGTATCTCCTCCCATCAGGGACTCAGACCCAGTCATCCTCCCTGTGAGGAGGGGTGTCAACCACGGAAGCGGGGCCAAGCTCTGGTGTCTGAGTATTACTGGGTGTCAGCTGTGTCTGCAAGGCACTCCTGAGGACCTTGGCTGCTTCACTCCAACTGTCCCAGCTCAAATTGATGCAGCAGGGCCATGGCCTCAGGCAGACGAAGCCACAGATCTTCTCTGCACTGGCAGTTTAGGGTTTGGCCAGATCCCTTCCAGGATCCTTTCAGTGGATAACCTTAGTCTGCAGCATGGTCTTGCTTAGCCCCTGCTCACCACCTCCTGCCATCGTGGTGGTCCTTCCTAAGACCCAGCATGCCTCCTCTGGTCCCTGAGCTCTGGCTCCTGCCAGTGTCAGCTCCTCCAAGAGCCCTGTCACTTGGGTGGCCAGAACTGATGGCAGCTGGCTGGCTGTTTCCTCGTAGGGGCAGGAAGGCCAGGACCCTGAGGCCTTGCTCACTGTAGCCTTCTGTCTGCAGAGACTGCAGGGAGAGTGGTGGCCTCTGCAATCTCACCATTTGTCCTTTGAAGCCCAGCATCAGCACCGGGACACCGCAGCAGTAGGGGCCCCCCTCCCTGGGCTCCTAGGACGTCTCTCCTTCCTGGAGGACAGCCAGCCCATAACCTACCACAGGACAGCATCCTGGGGAGGCTGGGACACTTTGCCTGCCACCCTCCAGTGACCTTCCTTAGCACATGCAGGGTCCCTTCCTCTCCCAGCAGGACAGTCCTCACAGCTGCCAGGCGAGTCCTGGGTCTCCCAGCAGGGCAGGGTATGGGCTGTCAAGATTCCCTCTGCCCTGGCTGCTTTCCTGCGCCCTAGGGACCAGCTTACAAAGGCTACCACTGGCCCTTGCTGCCTAGCTGTGAGTACCAAACGGCTTGGTGTAATTTGTGTGTGTTCTGGCTCACCAGACTCAGACACACTGGGCACAGCACAGGGGACCTGCATCGCATGCATCATGCTGTTACCAGGGACGCCAGACAGGCACAGAGAGAGGCAGCGGCCCTCTGTCAGGGTGCTTAGGAGAAAGGCTGCGCTCACGCAGGCCCACAGTGAGAGGCCGGAAGCGGTGCACACCAGGCCTGGGTGCCAGGGGGCCTGGGAACTGGAGCAGCTTGTTCTCCAGACCTCACTGCAGAGGCTTCCATCCAGCTCCTGGCTGCACATGTGGGGCCCACCGACTGCCAGAAAGTTCTGTGCACAAGTTCTGCATGCAGAAGCTGGGCGCCCCACTCCCAGTGCCCTCCTTCCTGACAGACCACAGATGCTGCTGCCACGCAGAAGCTGTGAAAGCCCACACGCTGTGCCACTGAGGATGGAACCACCCATGTCAACTGCTCAGAGCTCCCTGAGCCCTCATTATTCCATCATTCTTGATGAGTACAGCTTTTGGACATGTCTCTTTTGGAAAAGCTTTATTTTTATGTAAGTAAAAAACATCCAAATATTACAAAATATAGCACTTTGCAAAGTACATTATAAAGTACTACTACAAAATGATCACTTTAAGAACTCAAGTATTGTAAATACATGATGTAGGAATAAGTCCCTTGTGCTGTGACCCCTCCCGCCACATCCCTAGGATTACTGCTCTGAGCAGTTTGGGGTGTTTTTCCAGACTGTCCCTGCTTCCCAAGCCAGCAGGTCACACTCCACAGCCAGACCTCTTGTACGTTCAGTGGCTTTCCGTTCCCATGTACAAGCACCTCAGGAAGCTTCAAACACTGCCACTCGCCTGTGTACGTGACTGGGCAGAATCGTGAAATGAATGATACCTGACCATTATTCACCCACGAAACAGCAATTCACACAGCTCGACGTGATGCAGCAAATTCCCTATGGACATCTGGTCTCCCATGCTGCACTGTATACAACTCAGCAGTCTCTCCCCGGCTTGCTTTTATGGCACGCAAACATTTTACAGATGGTCACACCCCTCCGTGGCTTTCAGAGGAGTCCAGAGACTAAGCTGCCCTTTGTGAGCAAATAGCACAGAGCTGAGGCAGAAGAACACACGACCCTCACTCTCGCAGCCACGTTCAGCCCCAGTGGCAGCAGAGACCCTCCCGAGACGCACAGCGCTGACAAAGGCAGAATGTGGAGGACCCTGAGCACAAGACCATTTTCCCACGCTCAGCTGGGATCTAAGCGTGTCCAGTGAGCATGCATGCTGGCTCTGGAGGCTGGGTTCTCAGAAGGCAGTGTGGATGGGTTCGGACCTCACACCAGGACCCCAGGAAACAGCTCTGACGTTCTCCAGGAACTACTGGAATGACAAAAAAAAAACAGCACCCATTTCCATTTCAGTCAGCCTGGGCAAGGCAGAGGGAGGGCAGAGCACAGGGTCACTGGCACTTTCGGGCAGGCCGCCTCCTCTTCGGCCCCAACCGGGATCTGTAGATTCTTCGGGGGTCACACTCGAGCTTGTGGGTGGTCTTCTTGTGGCAGGCGATGTGCACCAGCTTCAGGTTCTCCGGGGTGAAGAGCAGGCTGTAGAAGTACTCCCAGTCTACCTCCCTGCCGCCCTGCTGCTGGATAGCATCCGCCAGCGTAGGTACAACGGTGCGCTTCTTCTCGATGCTGCAAGCAAAGACACTGTGACAGGGAGCTCCGGGGATCCACAGGCCCCTCCCAGAGAGGACACAGTCGGGACTCTCCAGGCAAGTTAGGTCCCTCAGCACCCCGCTGTCGCCAGGCAGACGAAATTATGGCAGGGCTTTGGGTTACCAGCAGCCTCAGCCCTCAGGGTTACAGCTCTGAGCTGCTGGCCTCTGAAACCGCCAGCCACGATCCGACGCCAGCTAATGCTAGACACGGACAGCTGACACCACCACTGCCACTGCCAGCTGCTGCCAGCTAATGCCGGCCACTGCTGCCAGGTGCCGGCCTCTGTCGCTAATCTGTATTGGCTGCTGGTGTCTGGAGCACCTAGTGTTTATAGCTCTTTTCTGAAGCTACCCACTCTGTCCACACCACTCAGGAGAAGACTCTCTGAGCCCATGCTACTGGAGAAATCAATCACAAGCAGGTGCGCCAGGCCACTGGAAGGAGGCTTCACTGGGACAGGATCTGTGCCACAGGACGTGGCAGGCAGACTGCCAGTGCCTAAGCAGCCCTCCTGGACCAGCCCAGGATACATGAGGAGCCTGCCACTCACAGAGCAGCCACAGGCCATCAAGTGGTCTGAATGTGAGCCTGCTGACTGGTCTTAACTCAGCTGTGCGGCTTGGTTCAAGTTCAAGCCCATGGCAGTCACTGAAAGCGGACAGCTCCAGGACAGGTGTCATGGTGGCACAGCTGTCAAGCCAGCCGTCTGGGGACTTGGGGAGCTATAAACTGTGTGATTGAAAGCCGCTGTGTCCCCATCAAAAATGGCACACGGCTGTGCTCACCACGGCTTATCGGGACTCGGGAGGACAGAGATGTCAGTAAAGGGCCGGAGCCCTCCCTGATCCTGGGGGTAACAGTGTCTGGAGTGCAGGAGTGGGAGACAGTTCCTCTGCTGACAGTGCAGCAGCCACAGGGTAACGGGACAATGGTAGGAGGACACCGATCCCGGCTGCCCCATCCATCCTTGGCGATCAAGGGAGGAATAAACCGGAGGGGCGGGACAGCTGTCGGCTGGGAGAAAGGGAGTCAGGCACCTCCTGTCTGTGTCACAGCCAGAAAGCACGCAGGGCTCAGTTCCAGTGCAGAGAGCCACAACCGTGACAGAGGCAGAAAAGACTCAGACAGACAAGGGTGGCTGACTCGGGCGGGGAAGCGATCTGTGTGTGTTGTGGGCATGTGTGAGTCTGCAAGAGGAAAACACTGGTCTCTACAACCCATGTGCGCTGATAAGGAAGGCTGCGAAAAAACGACACAGAAATGCACTAAGAAAGGGGAAGAAAATGCTGCGCTACCCCGGAGGCCATGGAAAGCTGAAATCCAGCAAAAGGAGTGGAGTCGCGGAAGGTTCTGGGTGTGGGGAGACAGCACTGTTTATATAAGTAGAAAGACCACAGTGAGCAACAATCAGAAACAAGAGTAAAACGTCTCTGGAATAAACTCATAATGGGCACTATAAAGTCTTTAGTGCTGTATAATAAAACAGAGATGTGGCTAAATCAATATTGAAGAGACGCATGGCTTTAAATATGTGTTAGAATGAAAAAAAAAAAAAAGACAGAAAACAGGTCCTGGGATTTAGCTCAGTGGTTCCCGCACCTGCCTCATAAGCACAGGTTCGATCTCCAATACCAAAAAAAAAAGACAGAAAACGAATAAGAAACCAAAAATAAATAAATAAAGCGAGAATTTTTAAAAATCACGAAAGTCATGAAGTAAAGGACCCAAGATGGGCACAATGACAAGGGAAATGAAGATGAAATCACAGTGGGGCAGATGCAGGTGATGCCACCCACCAGGGCCACAGGGAGGCCTCACCCATGGCCCTGCACCACCACCCTCCCCAGGCAGCCCTCATGCCACCCCGGTCTCAGACTCTGAGTCCAGGGCCCCATGCTCAGGGTCGGCAGGGCCAGGCCACCCTCCTGGGACAGGTGCCCAGAGGCTGGGACAGCCACCCGGCATGCTGCTTACTAGGGCCTGACCCCCTGCAAAGTCTACGGATTCCTCCTGAACCTGCACCCAGCCTCCCAAGCCACAGCATGCTCTGACCCTATGGGTGGACAGCCCCATGCTCTGCCCCACAATTTGTTTCATCACATGTAGCTGGCCTGTGGCTTTGACCCCCACCCGTCAGGAGCAGGCCTGGCTCCACTGGGGAGGAGACAGACCAGGGTTTCTGCAACTTCCTAATGACTGCAGTGAAACCTATACTTTAATGAAAGCCCAGTAAAGAAGCATGAATGCGTTCATTAGAAGGGAGGGGAAACAGCCGAATATGGAAATGGGTGTTTCATGATACGTCACCACTCTGCTCACCCTGTGTCTTTGTTTTATTTTTTTTGGTACCGGGATGAAACTCGTGACCTTGTGCTTGTGAGGCAGGCAGCGGCGCCACTGAGCTACTTTCCCAGCCCCCTGCCCTGCACCTTCAACTGCCACTGTCATATCTGTGCCTTTCTTCATGGGTCCCCAGAGTGGTGTCCCACACTGATGAATCAGCGTTCCAGAGCAGGCAGACTGCCTGGGGAGCCCCACGCAGGAAGAGAGCTCACGGACCAGCCGGGAAAGACCAGGAGGAGGTTCACGACAAACAGGTTGGAAGGGTCGCTCCACAAGAAGGCAGGCTACACCCTGTCCTGATAAAGGCATCAGGGGACAGAGGCCAAGCTGGGGATCGACCCTCACAAATGAGGAAGACCAAAAGCTCAGGAAAAAGGGAGCCACTAGAAGCATCATACAGGACTAAAGAGACACCAGGCTTCCGGGCAATCAGGAAAACAAGAACTAAATCCAGAGAAATGGTTTGTCACCCTGCAGACATCCCAGAGAGGCACAGTGACACCAAGTGGTGGCTGTGACGCAGAACACCTGGTGAGCATGTGACCTGGCAGGAGTACCCCAGGGGACAAGGCTGTCCTGGGACCCAGCACTTTCCTCGCAGGGAAAAGACACAGGGCAGACACAGGGCAGTGCTCTCCCACGCTGGCATTCCCACACTCCTGGGCCCTGCGCAGGCTGGGTGGGCCCTGAGTCTATACTGCTCGCCGGCCCAGGGCTGCATGTGCTGAGGTACAGAGAGTAGGGTCTCAGGGCAACAGTGAACCCACAGTGAGTGACCTAATGTTAAGCAGAATCCTGCCCACACTGTCAAGGTTACCATGCAGGTCACCTGAGCACAGGACAGGATAACACAGGACACTGCAGAGTGCATGTGTGTGTGTGTGTGTGTGTGTGTGTGTGTGTGTCTGACACGCATGCACATGTGGTAAAGGCCAGAAATGGGTCAGAACAGTTTCCCCTGCGGGTAGAGAACAAAGCTGAGTATAGAAAAGACAAGCACCGACTCTTAACTGAAATGTGCCCTTTACTACAGAATGCCGTATCTCAAGGACACTAGAAGATCTAACTCCACAGCAAGGTCCAGATGCAGTGAGACTCAAGGAGGTCTCATGGTTAGAGCCAAGTGTTCCCACCTGCCCTGGCTCACACGGAGCTGCCACAGATCCCCAGCTGGGACAGCCACTGCTGGCCCAGAAGCCCCCACAAGCTGTATCTGACCTAAAAGTCCCCAAATGTCTCCTGTGTTCAGAGATGGCGCATTTGGAAGGTGACTGGAGCACTCTGCTCGCCAAGGCAGTCATCTAGCAATGAATGTGCCACTGGGTTTGGGGTCTGGACACAGGAGATGGTCACTGGGGGTGTGACCCAGAAGGCTGTACGCTTGTCCCCTGCTCCTCCCTCTACTTCTTGGCCACCACAGGCTGAGCAGCTGTCCTCCACTAGACTTTCCACCATGCCATTTCTCCTTGAAGCCCCTGACCATGGACTGAACTCTGAAACCATGAACCAAATAAACCTCTCTGCCTTAAGCTACAGGTAGCAGGTGGTTTGTTCCAGCAACAGGAAAACAATACACAGCCAGAGCTCCTGCCTTCCCAGGTCCTCTGGCTCAAGCACACAGCCCTCAGCCTCTGACAACCTGGCCGTGGCCCTGGAAGGGCCAGTCTCCACTCCATCCAGAGGAACCAAAGGGCAGAGGGGTGACAGCTGGGTGTCAAGCACATGTCTGACGGAAGGCACAAGAGCAACACCCACACAGCAGCCCCCTGCACGTCCCGCCAGGCCCCTTCCCTGGACCAGGGCACACAGGCACCACCTTGGAAACATGGTGGTGACGACCATGAGGTGCCACCAAGCAGCCTGGCAGAGCAGGACCCTGCAGCTGCTCTTCGGTTTGTGAGCCCGGGTCTGAGGCCCAGCCTCCCACCCAGAGGCCCTGTGAAGCACACTCACATGTGGTCCAGGTTCCATGTGCTAAAGAGGATCCGGCTTTCCCGGTTGCTGTAGGGGTTGATGGAATGCTTTGAGGCACAGTCTTCCAGGTCAAAAGGACCCTGTGTGACCAGAGATAAGGGGGAATGAGGCTCCACTGACCTCCTCCCTGGCAGACAAGCTCACCAAGCAGCAGGCCCCATGAGCACCTGGCCGCTGAAAACGCTGTCTGGGGCAGATGGGGATTCAGGAGTTCTGCCTATGTGTTTGGGATCCCCAGGGGACCACTCAGTTACTGTCACTGTTCGTCAGGACAGCATCCTCAGCAGATGCCTGCAGCAGCCTTGGATGGGCACCTGGGGCAGCCGTCATCCCCAGTGCTCCATGGCACAGGGTCAACCCCAGCCCTACATCCTAGCTCCATGAGGAAGGCATGGACTTTTGGAGGCCACAGCCACCATGTGGCAGGCCAGGGCCACAGACCGTCCACTCCCCATGGGTCCTGGATATTTCCCTGTCACCCCTACTCAGGCTGGCCACCTCACCAAACCTCCCCAGTCCCTTGGCACTCACTGGCAAGATGTCTGTGGGACATGTGCTGAACCCTACAGCTCCGCCTGCCACCTGAGCACCCCCGTAGCTGCCCCGGTCACAGAGCCACTCTTCCTCTCTGGTTCCCACACCCTTCCCCTCCCACTGGCACCTCTAGGGCAGGCAAGAGGGATGTACCATCTCCCTATCCCCTGGATGCCTGGCTCCAGAAGGTCCCCAGTGAGTGGGTGAGTAAGCTCCTTCGAAATCTGAAGGTAAAGCAAATGTGGCAGGAGGAAGTTTTTCAAGGGCAGAGTCTGGACTTCTTCCAGAAGAACTGGCCAGCAGTGGCAGCAAGGGCTAGAAGCCACTGGAAGCCACTCCTGCCACCAGGCTCTGCTGCCTGAACCACCAGGAAGGCCCATTGGGGTGGACCAGAAATGCACCTGCAGTTTGCAAGTGGCTAGAGGTCCGCCATCACAGGGGCCAAGGACAAGCTAGGTTCAGGTGCCATCATTGCCAGAGGCTGGAACACGCCTGACACTTCACAGAATGGTGGTAGAGGCAGGAAAAGAGTTCTCCACATCCAGGAGGAGGCCGACCCCGGGGCTGAGCTCAACTAGTGCCTGGCAGTGCTGCCCCAGCCCTGGCCCTGACTGCCTGAACCCTGCCCGGAAGGCCCGTGGAGGTGAACACCTCTCAGGCTGCCGTGCACAGGAACCTTGCACCTTCTGCTTAACCTACTCCACCAGGCCCCACAAGAGAACCTTTCCTACCAGAACAGTGGGACAAGGCTGGGGTTCCCAGGCACAGCCTGTCACAAATGCAGATTCCCAGGCCCCCAGGGCACCCCCCCACCCTGCTGAGGCCATGCTCCTCACTCTGGATGCGGGTACCCTGACCCCCAGTTTTGCCCAGACCAAGGGCTAAGTCCTTTCCACCTCAACCAGAGGGCTGAGCCAGGCAAGCCACCAGGGTGGCACGGGATAAAGGGTGCCACTCACCTGACAGGAGAACCAGCCCTCCAGTGTACACAGCCGGCCTCCGGCCTCGGCCCCTCTGTCAAAGTAGCTGCCGTGGTACTGCACAGCCTTGAGCTTCTGACACATGGAGCCGAGGACACGCAGGTACTCCTCTCGAGCCCCCACGGCCACCTCAGAGGCATAGCTGCTCACCTGAAAAGGGGAGGCTGACTGAGCCTGGGCACGGGCTGAGGCTGGTAAGGATCCCAGCGGCCTGTGCCCGTGTGCCCTCCAGAGCCTGCCAAGCCCAGGCCTGTGGTCAAAGGCCCGTGGTCTGAGCCACGAGCCACACGGATGCCCAGCGTGGAGGTGTCCATCAGAGCAAATGGAGGGCACGGAAAACTCAACCCTGTGGCGACAGACACATGAGTCAAGATCGGTTCCCACACAGCAGGACTCCACAAGAGGGAAAGGGAGGAGACCTCGGCCAGCAGACAAGGGCGGCCAGAGGCTGGAGAGAGGGAAGTTGGGTGAGTGGGACAGAGAACGTCACCTCTGCCAGGCACGCAGGCCCTCCGCACAGGCTCACCTCTCTCAGGTAGCCCCGGATCCGGCTCTCACAGCTGTATCTCAGGTAGCCAGACTTGTTCCTAAAGCGGGACTCCAGGCCTGCCAGGAAGAAGATCCCCGAGTCACAGGCTGTGCAGAAGCCATACCCGGGGAACAGCTGGCAGTGACACAGCAACGCATTTGATTTTCATTTCGCAGGCATCTCAAATCCCACCAAGGGCTTATCCCTGGCTGGTCCACCAGCTCTTTTTCCAGAAGGGCTGCAGGCACCAGGGTCCCAAGGCCAGAGCAAAGGCAGGCACCTCCGTTTCCATCAGCTCCACCCACAAGGCAGGATATTACTCAGCCTTACAAAGGAATTCCAACTACTGAGGCTGACGCAGGAGAACTGCAACTTCAAGCACAGGCTGAGCAACTTAGTGAGAACCCCGTCTTAAATTAAAAAGGGCTGAGGAAATAGCTCAGCACCCACCATGTTCCCCAGCCCTGTCCACACACCGTCAAACCAAGGTGGGTCCTGGGCCCGCGTCTCAGCTGCGATGTTCTGGCTTGCACTCTGCAGCAGGTCGGCCAGCAGCTTCTGCCGTAGAGGGGCCTGCTCATCCTCAAGCAGCTGCCGCGCGGCCTGGAGGACGCCTGCATGCGGCTCCTGAAACACGCTGAGGAAGCGGCCGATGTCACTCACATCTGCCACCGGCAGGCAACAAACAAAAAGGCGTTCAGTCCATGGAAGGCACACCCTGTCCTGCCCACACAGGACCCTCCAGGGCCAGACTCAGATGTCCAAGGGTGCTGAGTTCCCCGCCTCCTTGAAGCCCAGCCACACCAAGCAGCAGCACCAGCTGCACAGGAGCAGGAAGACCCACCCAGGGCTGGAACCTGCTCGTTTCTCCTGCCCCAGGGCCCTTGCACAAGGGGTGCAGAACTTGCTGGCCAGCTGACTCTGAAGGTGAGACTCACACCTAGGCCTTCAATACAAACGCTGGGAAAGACCCACCTATCTCAGCAAGTGTCCAGGGAGACAGCCTCATACCAACCCTAAGGACAGCTCTGTGACAACAGGGCTGTCCTGACGGGGGAGAGGCACCAGGCTCTGCTGCATATCTACCTGCAAAACTTCATGCCCCACCCCAAAATGGACTTGGAAGAATTAAAAGGACAGGCTACTGGAACCGGCCTGAAATCTCAACACCCTGGAAGGCTGGGGCAGGAAGATCGCAAGTTCAAGCTTACCCTGGGTAACTCAGGGACTAAGGGAAAGAGGGCGGGAGGGGCCGGGGATATAGCTCGGAGTGAAGGCCCTGGATTCAAGGTACAGTACCGCAAAAACAACAGTGAACAACTGCGCTCCTGGGCAGGAGGCCGCCGGCTTTGCGGATGGGCGCCGCGGGCCAGCGCTGACCCCTAGGCTGACCCCCAGGCTTCCTTCCGGTCCGCACCCGAGTCCCCGCACTCACAGCCCCCCCAGGTCTGGCCGGCG